CTCTTTTTAGTATATTCAACTCATGGTGAAGAACCTAAAAAGACCAAATAGCTGTCTCAGCTTCCAACTCAAAAGAACCCTTGTTACAATGCCTGGTGGATGCATTCATCTCTTGCTTACTAAATCCTCTAAGCCAGAAGTGTTTGGAGTTAGCACAATTTCTAGGGCACATTATGAGCTGTAACCTGAAAAGCATCAAATTTTCTATCATCCTTCTTCTCCAGACTCACATATTGTCTATCTCTGAGAGAAATCATTCCATATACTGCTCTCCTGAACAGGCTTTCCAATCTCATAAGGAGATCTTCTAAACGAAACAGTAAGAGATCCTCCAATGCTGTAAGTTAGCTGCTCTGGGATAACAGGGTATGTGATAAAACCAATTATCCCATGACCAGCAGCACATTACCTGATTTCACTCACAAAATAACAATTTCATGGCCAGAGAAATGTCGGACGACATACTCTGATGAGCTAAAAGGTATCTGTTAAGTTCATAATTAATAGTGCTTCTAGAAATACAATAGGCAGAAAAAATAAATCCAGTCCATATCCTTAAGGTGTTTTTCAGTTGGCACAAATACTTGATGTCCCACTAAAAAAAGTAATCACCTTGCCCAAAGTCCCACCCAGGTTCTAGCTCCTTAGCTAAAAGTGGACTAATGATTCTACTGGAAAAATTGAGCCCTCAGCATTAGTGATAGCAAAATAATATAGAGAAGTCTCTCCTTAGTATATTTGTCCATTTGGCTGTTGTAACAAATTGCCATAAACTCAGTATCTTAAAACAACAAAAATTCATTCTCTCACAGTTCTGGGGTCCAGAAGTCAGAATCAAGACATCAGTAGGATCTTGTTCCTCCTGAAGACTCTAGGGGAATCTCCTTTCTTGCTTCTTTCAGCTTCTAGTGACCCCAGGTATCCTTCAGTTTTTGACTACATAACTCCAATCTCTGCCTCCATCTTTTCACATGGCCTTCTCTGTGTCTCTCTTCTCCTCCACTGCCTCTTTTTAAAAAAATTAATACATAATAATTGTACACATTTGGATGTACATGTGATATTTTAATATATTCATATACTATGTAGTAATCAAATCAGGGTAATTGGGGTATCCACCACCTAAAACATTTATCATTTATTCATATTGAGAAGAGCCAAAATCTTCTCTTCTAGATATTTTTAACCGTAGAATAAATTATTGCTAACCATAGTCACATGACTGTGCTAACACTAGAACATATTTCTTCTCTATAACCATAATTTTGCACCCATTAACCAACTTCTCTTCATCCCTCCTTCCCACTATGCTTTCCAGCCTGCAGTAACCATGATTGTACTCTCTACCTCCATGAGATCAACTTTCAAAGCTCCCACATATGAGTGAGAACATATAATATTTGTCTTTCTGTACCTAGCTTTTTGCACTTCACATAATGAGCTCCAGGCTCATCCATGTTTCCATGAATGACAGGGTTTTCTTTTCTGTGGCTGAATAATATTCTATCCTGTATATATACCACTATTCATCCTTTGATGGACACTTAGTTTGCTTCCACATCTTGGCTATTGTTCCATCTCTTATAAGGGTACTTTTTGATGGATTTAGTAGCTACTCAGGAAATCCAGGTGACCTTGTCTCAAATTCCTTAACTTTATTGACCTGTAAAGACTGTTTCTCAAATAAGGTCATATTCACAGATTCTGGGGATTAGGATGTGGGCATATCTTTTGGGCACCATCATTCAGTCCAACACAATGGGTTTCACTATCACCATTGCTACGTAATTGATGAGATCTTTATGCAAGCATGAGGAGAATGGGCAAGGAGACTGACTGACATCTAGAGAATGGGTTATCATATCCTGAACCTGAAGAGACTCTTAATAAGCATTCAAACACTACATTAATATTTTTCCACTCTGAGAGCATTCAGATGGAAAAAGATATCCACTACCCTCTACCAAAATAGTCTTGTTACTTTTAAGTTTCTGACTACCTGCTCAAATTATTAATCATTACCCACTGGTTTTTGTTATTACTTAACTCAATCTACAACTTCTTCCAGGCAAATTAGACAACAGGTTTACTTCCCTTTAGGACCAGCATTGAATTAAGAAGTACAATCACTTACTATAAGTCCACCAATGCTGGCCCCAGGAAATTGGGAAGAAGCATCTGTAAACCAAGAGCTATCTATCTATCTACATATCTATCCATTTATTGATTTATTTGGCATCTCAGGCTACTAACTAGTCACAGGAATCCCTCCATGGGGCCATTGGGGTTGAGAGACAGCAGCAGGGTAGCAGGATGATACCCAGGAGGATGACAATCCTCCTTGTACAATTTAACGTGTGCATTTAAGATTGGCTTGGAGCCATTCCTCTCTGTGTGTGTGTGTGTGTGTGTGTGTGTGCGCGCGCGCGCGCACGCAGGCACATGGGAATGTGTGGATTTCAGTTGATGGAGTAGTGCTATGGATCCCTCACTTTACTTTTTAGTGAATGAGCTTATGACCGGTTCATAATGGGAAATTCAGATCATAATGCCAGGCATTTAGTCTCTACCAAGGTCCAGTAGCATTTCAAGTGTTGTTTCTCAAAATAGGACTAGTTACTTGTTGGAGAGGTAATGACTTTTATTTTTTTAATGACATTAGAGGTCTCGACTGTGAATTTACTACTGGGGCTCCATAAAGCATCCCAATCTGCTACAAACTCTTCAAGCTTCATTGGATCTGCTGGATCATATGGGCTGCCAGGTAGAGTTGATTGCACTGCAGCCTGGACTGATTGCCAGGAGCTCTGTTGATATGAGTTAGTGAGGAGACAACATCTGGAACAGCAGCTGCACTTGGAGGCACCACCTAATTAAGCTTACAATAATCCACACTCATTCTCCAAGACCCATCTGTCTTCCCCATCAACCTAATTGGAGAGTTAAATGGAGCTGCGATAGAAATGACCACAACCTACCATTTCAGTCATTGATGGTAGCACTAATCTTTCAGATTCTATGGGAATATCCTACTGCTCTTGTTTTTTTCTTTTAGTAAGGAAGGTGAGATCCAGGACTTCCATCCTTGTTCTTTCCTTTCATAACAACTCTTATTCCTGAGTTAAGAAGTAAATGTGAGTATTTAGCCAATTGCCTAAAATATATTTTCCAAGAACACACAGGAAATGAAGGGAAAGAGAAGAGGATGTGTCTGTAGGTCCCTGTATGCCTACAGTGAGATGGGCTTGCGTCAAGACTCTATTTATTACCTGAACATAATACATTTCTAGTCTGACCATTGAACCACAGTGCCATTTTTCTATATTAGAAATGTGTAATTTGAGAGCCATTATCTTAAAACAACTGAAAGGTCTACTTACATTCTTTTCTTCAGAATATACTTACACCAGAAAATGACCACAGGTCTAGAAATAAGGTAATGACTCTTTCTTTTGGTAAGCATTATCCTGAGACATGGTGATTTTATGCAAATTTATTAGGAACTTTGTGAGTTGCCTATATATCTCAGATCTATAGACTCCATGATCAATAAATCAGTGTTAAATATCTATGTGTCTCTATTAGGGAAAGCACAAATAACTAGCCTCTGGAGGTTAAGTGCCTGACTTCTGCACCTGCCCTTCTCAATCATAGGATCTTTCCAATCTCCATTGTAATCAGACAGACTATTTCAATATCAGTCCCTCCCATCAATATCCCCAACTGACAAGAGAAGCCACAATCACATTTTTGTAGGTACTAGTAGTTCCCTCACTGAAGTGTTTCTCAAGGTCTTAGCAAAAAGATGGTCATCTATGTCTACTTAGGCAATATAGTTAGGAAGTAGATGAGATTCATGTTTTAAATTCAGTCATTTTATTTCTTTCTAGGTACTATTGTAAATAATTTATGGCATCTTAATTTTCTTTAGCATGATCAATAATCTATACAGCTTCCTGTATTAAAAGTACCTTGCCCTCTCAGTGAATTCAGATAATTGCACTATACGAAAAAAAATAGACTAACCTAAAACTACATTTATTCACTTTTTGGTTAAGCATGTTTGGAATTTAACAAGACATATTTTCCCCTAGGTATTTTATTATACAAATTGTTAAGTATATTTATTTTGTATTTTTTTGTATTAAACTATTACAAAGTTTGACAACATAAATTAGTATGCTGAAATCCAACTTCAGTTACCAATTTGAAATGAAAATGGGGGGAAGAGGGTTAGGATCTGAAGAGAACTGGGTTAAGAATGGGAAGGACTGCCTCTTACAACAAAGAAAAGGGTTTTTACCTGAGCTATTTTGAATGCATCAACTGGCAAGGGAAGCTTAAAAAAATTGGGTTTTGTGGCTATTTCAAGTCCTTCAAATCCTCCCATATATCCCTATTTTAATATTCAGAATGTCACTCTGTCCCATTTAATATTTTAACTCTCACCAAAGAAGCTGAAGAGGGGATAAATAATGTGTTAACTTGGAAACCCAAGACTAACCTTTTTATTGATTTTTTGGATACCTCATCTCTACAGCTTTAAGAGTCCAAATATTCTGCTAGCATCATCAGGTAAAGTTCTCTAAGCTTAAGTCTGTGACCCAAGAATTTAATATTTGAAATTGTCATTCTTTTTTTTATCCAAGCCACTTAGTATGTCTAAAAGCAGCCCCTCACATGCCCAGTTAATTTTTTTCAGCTGTTGTTCAACATCAGCAAATGTATACCCAAAGCCTGATCTTCAATCTGCACTGGATTCCAAATGATGACAGGAAAGTTAACCGTTTTGTCGTTGCTTACCACAGTCTGTCATCCTTCGATCACTGACACAACTGCATTTTCTCTGCTTTTAACCCTAATTATGCCAAGTACAATCCCAGACTTCCTCCTTTTCCCTGAGATCTGGTATAATAATCTGCTCCTGGAACCAACTTTCATACTAGTCAAGATTGTGGCTGCCTAGAAAAAAAACAAACCTGGCTATAAAGCACCCAAAATAATTGAAGGATATTTATTATATACTCCAAAATCAATAAACGGCCTGAAGGACAAGATTTTTAAGTGGTCAAGAATCCATGGAGTATCGTACTAGCTGAGTATAGCGTCATAACCAGACTTGAGGTGATGCGATAGACAGAGGAAACTTTTTTTTGAGACGGAGTCTTGCTCTGTCGCCAGGCTGGAATGCAGTGGCAAGATCTTGGCTCATTGCAAACTCCGTCTCCTGGGTCTAAGCAATTCTCCTGCCTCAGCTGCAGAGGGAATTTCTGTTCATCCTTGACTCCCATTAGCTTGCTCTGAATGAGAAGAGAAAATTAAACTCAGTATCTTACAAGAGGTGTGGAGGAGGCTATAGACAGATAAATATTAGTACCATATTATTGGATGAGAGTAACAGGTTGAGTGTCACAAGTAAGCTGACAAATACTTTAAAAAGCAATGATTTCAAACCGAATTCTATATGCTCTTCTACTGGGGCATATACTCATAGAAGTCAGAGTCTTTATCTTATAGTTCCTTTAATCTCTTGCTGCATGCAATAGGAACTTAAATGTGAATAAAATCCTTAATACTGTTTTCTTCAATTTCCCTTAATTTTTGATGGGTTTGAGCAAGTTAAACTACCTATGTGTAATTTTTCTCAAGGCCACTATAAGTAAAAAGATGTGTACAAGGAGCATTACATTATTTTTTACATAGCTATATGAGTTAAAAATGAAAAGCATTTTAGTTAGAAGTATAAAGAACTTACTTTAAATACTTTCTCTCTTTTATAAATGAAAATGTCCTTGTCTTTAATAATGTTCATCAATTTGAACATTCCTTTCTTTTTATGTCTTGGAGCTGTTAGAAAGTATTTAGCTCTGAGGCTGACATTTGGTATTTTTACTGAATTTTATCTTATTTTCAACCTTTTAAAAATATTATGAATTATGCACACTGACTGAGAACCAGGTAAAAAAAATTATGAATGCATATTTGTCAATAACATTTGGGACTCTGTGATATATATATACTATTATTCCAAGAGGTTGCCTTCCTGAGGTCCTGAGTCAGGATCATGCAAGTCTTCTATGGAAATACATTTGACCCTCTACATCTGTGGGTTCCACATTCAGGGATTGAACCAACTGTGGATCAAAAAAAAAAAAAAAAAATACGTTTGTACTGGACTTGTACAGTCTTTTTTTCTTGTTGTTACTCCCTAAACAATACAGCATAACAGCTGTTTACATAGCATTTACATTGTATTAGGTATTACAAGTAATCTACAGATGATTTAAAGTACACAGGAGGATGGGCATAGATTATATGCAAGTACCACTCCATTTTATATTAAGGACTTGAGCATCCTCAGATTTTGGAATCCAGAGAAGGTCCTTGAACCAGTTGCTCATGGATACTGAGGGACAGCTATTCTTTCTTAGCATTTAAAATTGACAATTGCTTTTGTGCTTTCTTCAAATTTCATGAAGTTATGATGTCTCAGGCCATTGGTTCTTCCAGCCGTTATTCACAAAATATTGATCCAACCTCCTACAGCTACAATTATGAGTGGTGCCTTTCACAATGTTGAAGATCAACAATACCTCTAATTGCCTCTCATTTGTTCAATTCTACTTGACCATTTCTCTGAAAATACCTCAAGTCACTATTAAAGATGCATTTTACCATCAACCATGATACTCTACCTGTGTTTTCTTGTAAGCTGATTATTTACACCCCTTCCGGAAGCCACAGTCTTTCAAAATTGTAGACAAGACCATAAAAGACATGACCAAAAGAGAGGCCCCAGTGCAGTGACCCACACACACTGCAGAGCACACTCAGCTTGGGACAGCACAGTGCAGCTCTCTCTGAAGGTGAGAATTTGCAGCATGGTGGGTTCTTGCTCAATGGGTCGGCATGTTCATTTGGTCATGAAGCCCTGGATGGCTAAGAGCATACAAGAACATTCAACAAGTACAGAGTTTACCAGGGTACTACTACACACACGTTTGTGTCTGCATGTGCACATTTTTTCAGAAAGATAGGTTAGAGACAAATGGCTTCATAGCAAATCAATGCTGCACAAAAAAACATAAAATCAGGCACATCTAGATTTCTGTATCCTTGTTAATATTTTTATATATATATATATTTGAAATGTCTGTAGAAAATGTTAAAAGACACTAAAATCTAAATCATGTATATCTGTTGTGTGTGTGTTTGTTCATATACAGTCTTTATATGTTGTTCAAAGATGGCCTATGTAGCCTGTAACTTTATCACATACTTTTTTTCTTTTCTGTTTTTGAGATAACATTGAAGAAAAGCCAGCAGGCTTCTACCCGATTTGGTTTGAATAGAATGGGCGAATGAAATTTCCTATCATACTCTATCAAGTGCTTCAGCCAAAGCACTTTTATTTTGAAATACTATTTTATTTTCATGCTTCTGTTTAGAAAAAATTCTGCGTATGTATTTTGGAAATTGCATACATAAACAGATAAAATAGATAGATGTGAAGATAATTTTCTTCTATTCTGCTTATTCTCTAATTATAGTTATACCAGTGAAGCACAACACATTTCAGAATAGTTTTCTTCGGTGATTATTGATATTATTCTGTTAAACACTAGGTCTTCTCAAAAGTGTCACTGATATTTTAATACATATTGATCTCTTTTTAATTTTTTTTAAATTTCAATAGTTTTTGGAGAACCGGTGGTGCTTGGTTACACGGGTAAGTTCTTTAGTGGTGATTTCTGAGATTTTGGTGCACCCATCACCTGAGCACTGTACCCAGTGTTTAGTCTTTTTTCCCTCACCCTCTCACACTCTTGCCCCTAAGTTCCCAAAGTCCATTGTATCATTCTTATGCTGATGAACTTGTTTTCAAAAAATTTGGTTTGCTTTTTTCCTTTTTTTCTCACCTACATTTTTCTACAAAATTAATGACTGCAAATCCTGTGTTTCTTTTTATTCTTTAAACCAATTTGTTTTTCTTGGTATGTTTGTTATTAACACCAATTAGCACACATATCCCAAAATTTTTTTTTTCCTAGCATCCTACACATTTACGATTAGTGTCTATTTTCAGCACCTTCATTACTCTTCCAAATCACAGGACCTATTTTTTTTATTGCTTTTCCATTTGAAGTCCAATTTTATTACTTAGTACCTCTCCAGCAATTAATTCACTCATTTTATTTTATTTTATTTATTTTGTTTTAGAAACAGTGGTTCACTCTGTCACCCAGGTTGGAGTGCAGTGGGGCAATCATAACTCACTATAACCTTGAACTCCTGGACTCAGGCAATCCTCCCACCTCAGTCTCTCAAGTAGCTGGAACTACAGGTGAACCACCATACCCAGCTAATGTTTCTGCTTTTTGAAGAAATGGTGTCTCATTAGGTTGTCCAGGCTGGTCTCTAACTCCTGGCCTCAAATGATTCTCCTGCCTCAGCCTCCCAAAGTACTGGGATTAGAGGTATGAGCCATTGTATCCTGCCTGATTTACTCTATTTGAATTGTTGCTATGTGTCACGTGAGAGAGAACAGCATGCTCCAATGGTACAAGTAAACTCTTACCAAAGCGTATACTCTGAGACCTTGCAGTTACCTCCGTGTGTGTGTGTGTGTGTGTGTGTGTGTATATTCACTTTACTAACATTTTGAAGCTCCTACTGTATGAGGTACATTGCATATAGCACTCCAGAGGGGATGCAAGAGAAATAGCCTCCACCTTTAATGTATTTATAAATTCACTAGAAAAATGCTTGGAAGAAGTAAAATCAATTATTCTTTAAAATGTTAATCAGTCCCAAATGGCATAGTTTATTTATGCAATGCTCCAGCAGATTTTTATCAATGCCTACTATGTACCAGTAGGCCAGGTCTAGGAGTGCAGCAAAATCATGGTATCAGGCCTCATGGCCTTTGAAGTGTGTCTGGATAGCTCATAGTGAACAGAAACCTGAAATGTGGTGAGCATTACAAAGGACAAACCTTTTGGAGCAGGTAACACAAAAACTCATCCTAATCATGGGGATTAGAAGAGGCTTGCTTGAGTTACTGATGTTTACACTAAAAAGATTAATAACATTGAGTAGATGAAAGGAAAGAAGTGGAGAACAAGGACTGTATGGTTGTAGTACTGACTAAAGAAATTCTTAAACTGGGATTAAAAAAAGGTATTTGGAAAGAAAGAAACCCTAAGAGGGGCATGCAATTCAATCTAAAAATATATTTTATAGGATTAACTATGTTTTCTGTGAAAAATTCTGTGTACTGGGAGGGACATGGATTAGTGAAAATGACTGAGGCACAGATTCCAAGTAGAAGAAACACCTTAGCAAAGAATGGAAGGCAAAATTCTGTGTATATTGGCTTGACCACAGAAGAGAAGCTAAGCAGGAAAGGAGGTTGCACAGCAATGAGGAAAGTCAGTAGGACCTTTACTATCTAAGAAACTATGTTCTAGAAGGTAAATGCAAAATAAATGAGAATAAGAGGAATTCGAGGCTAGAAGGGGAATCCCTGGGATATTGCGAATGTTATTGCCTGGATTAGGGTAATGCGGCAGATGCTTGGTGTCCTGCCCAAATCCCCTTGGCATCCCATTCCCATTTCCATACACACCACCTGCTACCTACCACAAGCATCTGTGACTCTCCACCCTCGGGCTTTCTGTGGCCACGGAAGCATGCCTGGTCTATCTGGGGCACAGGCCAGAAGTTTGGGGAGGTTAATGCCCTTAACCAGTGAAGGATGGAAATTAGCTGATCGGTACCCTAGTTCTCTTGCCCCAGCAGAGGGGGACAACTCTAGGGTATGTTCTACTCAGTCCTCCAGCAGTCTCTTTCAGGAGAGTGCACCGGGACCTTCTATTAGCTTTCTTCACTTCTCTGTGTTACTTCTCTACTCTCTTATCAGTCTTTCTGGGATCGATTCCAAAAAAACTGCTTGCATCAAATCCTGGTCTCATAGTCTGCTTCTGGGGAAACCCAGTCTGAGCAGTGAGTTACTAAGAAAATTGAGGAAGAGTGGGGAGTGTTTGGAGATAGTGATGAAGAGATATTCCCTCATTGGGTGTTCAACCTATGAATTAACTGCCCATCCCCATCATATACATCCAACTCCATGTTCCCCTGATAACAAAGATAACGCTTCTAAGTTACATTCTGTTTATCCACTAAATGTAGAGTTATGGATCACACCAATACTGTCACATGATCCCGCATTTACAAAAATTTGCAAAAATATAATTTTTGTGTTTTACATTATTGAGTCCTGGGTTATTAATCTCTGCTTGTTTTGGTTACCACATCACAGTGAATGAGAACCCATAAAGTCAGGATATTTCAACATTAATAAAGACCTAAAAGACACCCAGGCAGAATACTCACTTTATAGGTATGAGAACCGAGACTTAGGGGAAAGAAATGACTTCAGCAAAGTCACACAGCTGGTGACAGGAGGCCTGGGAATAAGATCCGGTTTCCCCTTCTCTCTGCCAATTTCACCTTATACATAGCTGTCTTCCAGCAGGGTCAAACACCTTCGAAAATAATAGGAAACTTTGGTTTTACCACACACACACACACACAGTAAGAGACCAAGATGAACCACTTTGAAGGAAGTTGCTCTTAGTGTTAACAAAAGAGCAGATTTTAGACACAGAAATCATGATTCATAACATTCAAAAACTTGTCCTCTTGCCATGTTTTTTTTTTTTTTTTTTCTGGATTGAAAGATAATAGAAGTAATGTATAGGAGAAGCAGTTCCCTACCTTCTGGTAATAATAAGATATTTATCTAAGTGACCTTTGTTATTTAATACAGAGAAGACTTTTCAAGTAAGACAGAAAAATAACTGATAGCTACTTACCAAAACACCACTCACCAGAATTTAGAAATGAAAATAAAACAGGGAAAGATGGGTTAGAGCTGAAAACTTCTAGAAAAATGCAACAAAGACAACAAATGTTGCACCAGAGGTTGGCAAATGTTAATACAGTTGTGTTGTGGAAACTAATTTGGGTTCACAAAATCAGATGTGTAAGGAAGCACATCATTTTTATAATTATATAACTGAATTAATTTCCATATCAAGCTCACAGTCCCCCAGGTGACAAAACTTAATTTCCAACAAATCATGTCCTTGTGCCAAGGTTGCCTCTAAGTTTCTGGGAAAACTTGCAATGTGCTGGAACATCAGCAGGAGAGGGGAATGAACTTTGGATCTAGGTTTTCCATCCGTACATGTTCCTGCTCCATCTGGCTCACACTGACCATCAAGCTCTTGCATTCAGCTGAATTTCGGTGTCATGTTTGTACCGTTTTCCTACGGCTGCATGGGAGAATGGTCTGCTTCTCCTCGTGCCATGCTGGAGAGTACAGGGACTCTAAGGAGCTAACTCAGTCCACTGACCTGGACACCATTCATGACATTTCATCTGCTCCTGTGCCATGGAAAAATTCAGGGAACTTGCTGTTTTCCCAAGCCCTCCTCAGAAAGGCAGCACCAGTCTCTCCTATAGCTCAGATGTCCAGCTGCTTCCAGGTCCTGGGACTCAGGTCATGGAGTACAGGTAGAGAGTTTCCAGGAACAGCCAATCTCTAATTCCCTCTCCTTCCCCAGCCTCTGTAGCTAGGAAAACTTGCCCTGGCTCATTACAGATTCTTCCAAATCTTACCTGTGTTTTGACCACAACTTTTGACAATTCCATAAGGCAAAATGTTCACTCTGTTTTTTCTCTCTGTTTTGGATGCCTCGTGGGTGAGCTGCTTAAGTAGAGAAGATGTCACAGAATAACAACTGCAACAACAAAAAAAGTAGAAGATTAATCAGCAATTAATATATGAAAATATGTCTTCAGGGACAGTGACACAAAATTTAATTATTCTTCTACCATTTCATGTGTAATATAAGATCAAACAGTGATTAAAATTGGGACTAGTGGATGACAGTGAGTCTCCGCAAATAGTAGGCCATTTCCAAAACAGCATGGCAACAGAGAGGAAAATCTTAAAGACAAACTCTACTCAGAGTTTTCCACTAATGAAAGAAAAGCTTAATGCTGATAAACTCACCCCCTCACCACCACCACCACCAATGTGTTGAAGTGCTAGCTTTACCCTACTGATTTGCTGGTGGGTTGAAGGGCTCATTATCCCACCCACTGTAACTTACCTATTGATGGAAGTGTCTCCTACTGATCATTTCATTTCAATTGTTTTACTGTACCAATCCCTAACACAGTCCCACCCAGATCCACAAGTTACTCAACTTTTCATCTTCACAACAATGAGATAAACGAGTTCCATCTCCTTGATTTGAAATGTACAAGAACAAGACCCACAAAGCACAACAGTGGCTGGGCTGGGACTGGAATTCAGTTGTCTTTATTTTCAGTTATGTATTTTGTTCTATTTTGTTCTGTTTGTGTTGTTTATTGTTTTTATCCACTGGGCCATGCTGATTCCAGTGTTAGCCGATATCAAGAGATGTGAGCCAAATATGTCTTAGCCTTGAAGCAGTTCATTCCTGACTTCTTTAGGGTAGTAGGCGTCATCTCAGTCATCTCAGTAGATGATGGCATTTGATTGGAACCTAAAAACATTTTATTTGAATTTTGTGGAAATATATTTGTCTCCTCAGTAAGCAGCAGCAGTCAGTAGATAGAGTTAGTTCTCCTATATATAACAATCTTATTTAGCAAGAAAGCATTTCTTAGAAAATAATTTCTAGGCTAGAAACACAATTTTAATTAAGTGGAAACCATTCAATATAATAGAAGCTGCAAATAACTGTTTTGTGAATATCCTTCTCAGGTCAAAAATAATTTGGTAAAACAACTTCCTGAAATTATATCCATTTTAGGTCTCACTACATCATGCAATTGAAAGCTCAGTGAAATTCTGATTAGTAGCCTGCTGTTAAATGATACCACATAAAAGGCAAAATGTCATTTAATTGATAAGCAACTAAAAACTTAACTAGGCTATATACCCTAAGCAAATGAGTATACATCAAAAACAATGATGTTATATTTCTTCATTTATCTTAAAGTTGCACTCTGGCACATGCAATGTGCTGAGTGAAGTTTGTCTTTGTACCCAACACCCTCCTTCTTTAACTTGAAGAGAGGCTCAGTCTCTCTTATTAACCAGTATTTATGGAGCACTTACTTGGGACAAGTTGCCATGATAACCATTATGGGGTCTTAAAATGAATAATAAAAATGGTCCCTTCCTTAAAGTATTAGTTTACTAGCTATCTGTTACAGAAGATTTTTTTTTTAATGCTAAATTTCTAAAACTAAATACTAGACATTAGACGGGAGTATTGATCAAGGCTCAGGCACCCAACCTTTGAGGCACCAGTCTTTTCTCCAACATTTTTCTAATTCCTGTCAATCTTAGCTGATGATCACAGCTGCGGCCATTCAGAGTGAGAAGAACTGTTTCCTCTTGAGCTCTATGTCCATTTACAGTCACCTCACCTTTTCTTTACTTATTCAGAGCACAACTGAGGTAAAGCCTGCATATTTCAGCGAGGTTGATTAATAGCTAAGGAATAACAAAAGAGAAATAAACACACACACACACACAAACACAAATACAAACACAAACACACATACATGCAAACCATGGCATGCGATGGTGTGATTTAGAGCATATATGTGTTTATCCTCAGCTTGGGGAGTCACTTCCTTGTCTAGCTCCGAGCCTCACATCACATGGAAGAGGCTACCTATAAACTTTACCACCTTAGAAGCACAGTTGAGAATTTCTAGATTCAGCAGGCAATGGACAGAATGATTGTGATCCTGGGCTTTGAGGTCAGTTAGAAATGAGTTCAAAACCCAGCTTTGCTATATTTCTGTGTCGATTTCAACTGTTTAAGTATCTATAATCCTCTGAAAATTGCATTAATAATGCTTGCCTTATTGGGTCGTTTTCAGCATTTAAAGAAATAACAAGTACTTGCTACATCACAGACCATAACTGCACAGTAAGTGGTATTAATGTTATCGTCATTATAACAATGATCATGTAAAAGCATAAGAGATAGCAAGACCCAAGGTGAATGGAGTTATCTCTTGCTTACCTAGAGCCTGCCATCCATATTTTCATTTTCTGTCTCAGGGCCTGTTTTATCCTAGTTAATTGGTACCAAGAAAGTCCACTCCAATCAGTAAAGACTATGTGGACATTTAGCAGCAGCCCTACTAACAGGCAAAAACAGAATAATCCACTCAATAAATAAAAACACACAATCCTGCATGACATATACATATATGGAGTGCATATAATTATGCATGAAGGGTTAAACAATAATTAAAAGATAATTCAAGGCTTCACATAATTAAGTAGCAAACAAATATACAACCAGCTTTAAGAGAGAGGAAAAGAGGAAAAGAGAGAAATTGATAAACATGATTGATTTTTTAAAAGACTCCTTGGTCACATAAGTTTTAGAAATTCTGGTTTAAAAACATTAAAATTTTCCTATTATAAGGCTTCTCATAATCTCTAATAAGCTAATGTGCACTATGGAGCTCACATAGTGGGTACATAATTTGTAGTGTTTTCATAATTTATGTAGGCTGGACTTTTGCAAATGTGTCTCACTCTTTGCTTGTTTGCTTGTTTGTTTGGTGGTAGTAGAGATAGTTCATGAACTACAGTTCTTTGGAATATATTTTGAAAAATACTGGTAAATTTGAAAAAGTATTATTATTCTAGCAGATAGATAGCTCTATGGGTTCTAACAGCCTGGCAAGTTTTAATGCGAAAAAAGTTTTAATCTCTTTGAAGAATGGGTAGGACAGAGCATTCAACATCAGAATTAATAAATTGATACACAGCTAAAGATATTTTTACATATTCATTTATTTATAACATTCCCTTTTCATTTCACTCATACTTTTAATATCCACAAGGGATTTGAGGTGGCTCCCAGAGGTATATTTACCCCTCACAACTACTTAGCTACCACTTCAAAATAGTCCTTTACATTGCATGGTATATTGTAGTTTCAAAGTCTTCACATGCAGGGTTCTCAGAATATGATGTGCTTAAGAATGTTGCAGGGAGGGGTGTGCAATCTTGTTGGTTCTCAGCCTGCAGTCAGATTCCTGGACTTTTAGCAAACATCTCAGGTTCCTCTATGCAGGTAAGGTTAAGACTATACTTTTTTTAAATGTTGCTTTAGATTAACATTATTTTAAAATAATAGCTAATCAAAACTGTATCTTATTAAACTCTAAAAGCATAGATATTTCTCTAGAAATACAGATGACAAATGGATGGATAGATGACCCATAGATAATAGATGGATTCCAAGGGTTTAAAGATGATAGATAGATAGATAGATAGATAGATAGATAGATAGATAGATAGATAGATAGATAATAGATGGATTCCAAGGGTTTTAAATACATAAGTTATAAATAGGGATAATCTAGACCAGCTATTTCTAGTTTTTTTTTCTTTTTTGCTGGAATAATTTGTCCCTGCAAAGAGGAGACTCAAACTTCTTATTTATTTCAAACTGAGAAATAAAGAAAGGATGAAGGGAAGGAAGAAAAGGAAGAATGGGGAAGAGAAGGGAGGATGGGAAGGAGGAAGAGAACAGAGCTGGTAGTTGTCTTTAAATATTTCTATTTCATTAAGAGAGTTTAAAGGGAAGAATTTGCCTTATATAATCATAATTAAGGATAATAAATAATTTGATTTAGAGCCACTGAGTTCAATGCCTATAGAAAGTAATGGTTAAATCTCTTAGAATTATGGTAGCTTTCGTTTCATTATCTTTAGTGGCCAACCCCTCTCCACCTGCTCTTCCAAATAAGGAACATGGAATCTGGGTGCTGTGATATGCTGAAGGTTGTAGAGGCAGTTAGTGACAGTGATAGGGTCAGTCTTTTATGGTGACCGTTGGGTCCTAGCCAAAAGCTGCACATGAGGCTGCATCTAAGAACAGCAGGAAAGAGGTATACCTGTAACAAAGCCTGGGGTCAAGAGTTAACCACATTTCTGTGGCAGGCCCTGCAGCAGGACAACAGCCTAAGTCATAATGTGTGAGGAGCAGGTAAAGTCAGCTGACTTGGCTGGCAGCCCCACCTAAGGGTTCTTGCAAGGTGAAGCGCAGCAACCAAAACTGTGCTAGGGTAAACAAGCTTTAGGTCAATAATCTATATGTCTAGTTTCTTAACAACTAAGGGATAACTAAAGAAAAATAAACACACACGACAAAACAACATGGTATAAGATGGTGAGGCTTGCACGGTCCTTGGGGGAAGTGGTGCCTGCCCATGTGAATCAGAACCACAGCTGTCAAGTTCAGCCTGTCCCAGGCCCATCCCAACATCCCCTAATGATTACCTGCCATCTGTGTTCTCAGCCACACCCATCTGGGCACCAATAACTGACTCGGCCTAGCAGAATTAGAAGCTTTGACCCTGCCCACTTGCAAGTGGGGTCTGGAAACTGTCCATTGCTGTCTTAAGTCATACAGCCTGGAGGGCAACTGAATCCTCTGTGCCAGAAAGAATATTACATTTCAAGTTCCCAAACTAACCCTCATGTCACAGCCAGCTTGTCTAACTGACCCTTTTGAAAGTTCAAGTTTATAATGCTGGGTTTCTCTTGCAAGCAACTTCTCCATGGTAGGGAATCAGGAACCTATCTCTGAATGCCAGTCAGCCAACTGGGGAGCTGGATCTTTCTCACCTGGTGGGGGAGTGTAGGAAGATGAAGATGGATGGGAGAATGTTAATCCCAGAGGAGAGGAAGGTGGCAAGGAGCCGG